TCAGACGCCTGCTTGGATGTGGAATGAAGCCCGCTGCTGACAGGGGCTGTGCTCCCATGAGGGCACAAGACAGCTTGGTGCCTTGAGGATTTTACAGCTTTTGTTCATCTGAATCGCCCTGGGTTTTTATGCCACTCAACAAGAGACTGTTTACTTCACTGGGCCTGGCCACTGGAGGTGGATGGCTGGCTGATGGAAGTGAGGAAATAGATGGGAGGAGGAGAACATTTTTCTCCTGAGCTGTTTTTGTGTGTAATGTAGCCTAGGGATTAACAGCACAGGAGAGAGTAAAGAAACCCTGCAGAGCCTGGGTCAGGAAATACAATGTTCATGGAAACAAAATGCTTTTAACTTGCTGCATCAAAGACCCACCATTTCGGGGCATGATGTACATTGGAATACATCTGCATTCCCCTAGAACTCTGTGTGTGTGACTGCATGTGTGTGTGGTATAGAACTACATGTAAGTGTGTATTTGAACATTTCCATCTCAAAGCCAGTGATGTCCACCCTGGAATAGCTCAGTTACCCAGGACTGGATGGACATGGGCTGTGCAGTTCCTCTCTTCTCACAACTCGCCACTCTGCTTTTGTCCCCTTTTCACCCAGAGAAGTACCTTGAGATGTCCTCAGTTGTGTTGGGTTGTCTCTGGATGGGTGGTAGGCAGGCAGTGTGTGCTGTCATGTAAAAACCTCCTTTGAATGTGATGTTGCTCTCTGTAGGGCACCACTGTACAGTGTTCCTTGGCCTCAATTTAGCTACTCATGAGCTGAAAACTTATGGTTCTGCTGAGCTTTCATGACTGAAACTACATCTAGGAGGAGGCAAAGGCAAAAAGCCCTCTGGCTCCAAAGTACAGGTCTGGAGCTGAAACCTGCCTTGAACTGATACACGAAAAGGCAGTCTGGCTTCTGACTTGAAGCCTATCTTCGTGTTGTCATTGATGTCCATTGGAGTCCTGTATTTGCTGTCTGAGGCAGTGGCTGTCCTGGGTAGTCTTCACTGCATTCATCACAGCGTTACCTCCGGCAGGTAAGAGGGTGAAGGTGAGGAGGAGGCTGCCGAGTGTGTGCTGTGTGTTTAAACAGGGTTGTATCCGTTCCTGTCACTACGGTGAAGGATGGAGGTTGGAAGTAGTCAGCAGCTTCTGTAAGCATTTAACATTCCTGATTTCCTTTGTCTTTGATCTCACTTGGACTAATTTTACTCTCTTCTGATCCTTTCCCTTGAAGGGGCTTTTATCTCATTGTCAGGCTTGCTAATTTAGTGCAGTGTTTTGAACCAGACCTCCTCCTACGTTTCGAGAGCCTAGAAGGTATTTTTTCCTTAATCAGGAAGTGTTTCTACAGTTCTTTGAGCATCTTAGGACAGGAATTGTAGTGGGGCTCTTGGCAATGCCAAGTTCAGGTCCTCGGCCCTGCTGCTCCAACCTCTGTTTGTGCAAATGGCCCATCCACGAGAGCCTGCAGTATTCTGCGGCCGAAAGGGCAGGAAGGAGCTAGATGATTTGGGGCAGGTCAGGCAGCCTGATGTTGCTTGGGGGCTTCATCTGTCCAGCTGGAAGCCTTCCCAAGCTGTACTGAGTGATGGGTTGTCGCATACTTTTGACCTTGTCATGGGCTTCTGGCAGGTGCTCGGTTTGAGCCCTGAGGGTTGTGAATACATCTGGGTTTTATGTAGCTTCTTGGTCTAGAAACATTTCTGGTGTTCCTAGAATAAAGAGCAGTGGTTTGAGTATGGTCACGAGCTCTCACCACTGTGTGGAGCCTTCATTGCTTGGTGATGCAGTCGACTCTTTAAAGTGGAAACATACTGATACCCTGGAGGCTGGCTGCTTGTAAGTGGTTTCTGCCATGACTGGGTGGATTGTGTGGTTGGAACAGGTTCCCAGGACAGAGGAATTTGCTCTTTATAGTTGTTGTGCAATTGTGTTTATTGGTGTGAAAACATGAAAGAAGGCAATCTCCTCCTGTCAATAGCCAGGGAGATGGTATTGGCACGACTAGCTCAGCAAGTGCACCAAGTATTGATGATAGAAATGGACCATGCTGGTTGCTGGGGGATCCTTTGCTTCTGGTGTTAGTATGTTCCTTGCTGAGGGTGCTCTTTGGCCTGTGAGGTCCAAGCTTCAAATGCATTTCCCTCCAACAGTCATTTCTCCTCTCTTAGTATAGCAGAGACAGACCTGAACCAGGCTGGTTGGTTTGGTGTGGGTGAGTTCTGCAGTCCAGCACTGTGTTGTATAACCAACCCTTTTTCCTCTCACGTACCAACCAGAAGCTTGGATCCAGGTAGGTTTTGACTTTAGAGTGATATTTAGGGATACAGAAACATCATCACGTGTTTTAAAAACCCAAATACTTCTGCTGTGATGAGAAGTCTGGAGCTGCCTGTTCTTACCCTGCTGGAATTGGCTGAGTTGATTTTTAAGGGATTGAAGTTTGGGAGGCTGATAATTGCTTCTCAGCAACCTGTGCTGGCGTGGGAAGCTGCACTGCAGATCCCTGCTCTATTCCTGGCTGCCTGAGCCAGCCAGCTGGCCCCTCACGCTTCACCTTTTCAAGAGGAGGAGGAGTATTTTGAGCAAAATGGCATTTTAATTGCTGTCTGAAGAACATAGAAAATAGGACAGTTATATGGGCTGATTCCCCAAGCGAGGAACGGGAGTGGCTGCTGCAGAACAGGAGCATATGGAGAAGATGAAGCCATGGTGTGGTGGCAGAGGGCAACGTGGGATGCTCAGCGTGCAGAGCCAACAGATTCTACATAGCCGTGCCCGCCCAGGCTGCTGCCTTGTGGGAGGGTCAGCACTGAAACAGGGTAAGTGTAGGTGCAGGCAGATTGGTGCCCATAATGCTGGTGCTGCACAAGGACTGTCTGAGTTGTGTCACTGCTGAGAGGGATGTGTAAAGGAGTTTAGGTGAAAGATGCAAAGAGAAAGCTGGAGCCATTGGCTGTGGGGAGTGACCTGTGACCTGTGTGAATTCCTTGTCTCTTCAGTCTCTGCTTATGCTTCTAAAGACAACAGATTTAAGGAAAAGCAAAGGATTAAGACTTTAGCAGACAGAGTTTCAGCATCTGTTGAAGTAAGTTCTGCATCACGTGCCTTTGCCTCCACAGCCCTACCCTCTGGAGGTGGTGTTCACACACAGGCTGACTAAGCCCTGTGTGACGTGCTGCTGCCAGGAGCAGCTGCTATGGCTAGGTCCCTTCAGAGAAGTGTCTGGGTTGCTGCTCCTCTGTGGATGAGAGTTCTCACAACAGGCCTGTGGCTCCAGCCCTGAGTGAGCCTCCTGTCCTTACCCCAGGCTCAGTCTTTGAACCCTCTCCTGTGTTTGGCCATGTCACCTGCCACACATGCATTTGGTGCTGTTGCATTAGCATAGTGTGAAATGCAACTCTGCATCCTGCCAGGGGTTGGCTTTGGGGACTGGGATATCGTCCTCTGGATGACCTAGTGGAGATGACTTGGGCCAGGGTCTGTTCTGTCCCATAACACTGGCAATCAACAAGCAGCAGATGAGTAGGATTCTTGTATAGCCTCCTCATCACTGAAGGACATAGCTGGCCAACATTAAGTTCTAGGTGGTCATTCTGCAAGCCAGCAATGCCAGCAAACCTCGCAGGTTTCCATCCTTGGAATGAGCACAGAACCAGCCCACATGTGGACAGGGTTCAGTCCTTCAGGTTCGTCTTTCAGGGGCACCTGCAGTTTCCAGCACACGCCTTGGAAAGATTCCATCTCCCCGCATGTGTAATTTTGCGTGTCATTGCCCCTAATTGCATGCTTAACACACGCTCCTTCCCATGCAGCCCTTTTATCAGCAGTAGGTAGGAGCAGGTTTAATAGGGTGTTTGAATTCCTATAAAATTAATCTGTAGCTTTCTGCGATAGGAGACGGGCAGGGAGCCATGTGGTTCATATCCAGTGTTGATAAACTTGTTATAGAGGCAGGCAACATTTCTGATTGGAGCAATGACAAAATAATTTGGAGCAGAGCCATAAAAAGAGTGGATGGTGATGGTTTGAGCACAGCAGAGATTGAAATTGCTGGTGTGTGGAAGCAGCGCTGCCAGCTAACATTGACTTAGTGTCTCTGGAGAACTCTAACGGCAAATGCATTTTATTAATGGCAATATTCTGTTAGGAAACGCTGAGCATTGTTTCAGAGGTGGAGCTCCCCTCGAGTACGTGGCTTTGGAGATCAGCCAGACCAAGACCTGCTCAGCTCAGCTTGCTGCTGGCCACTGCTCTGGCCTCCCGCTGCAGCAGGCGGGTTGCTTAGGGGCATGTCTGCTTGCAGCTGGAATAGCCTTTTCTAGTGGGGAAATGCATCGTCCGTTCTCAGTCTGGATTCACTTATTTGGGATAAAACACTCAGAGACAGCAGGTCGTGGTTTTAGCCATTCTTTTGTTTTTCCTTTGAAATCAGTTTCCCAGTTCCTGAACGTTGGGAGATGCTGTCTTTCTGGATTCCCAGCTGGGATTGAGCTCTTGCTTCCCCTCAGGAGGAATTGTGATCATTGGTATTGGGGTAACAAGTGAGTTGCCTTGTGAGTGTTGATTGGCCTTGGAGGAGGTTCTGGTATGCAGACAGCTGAGCGGGAGCCCTCACTTGTCATAAGCAGCTGTGGCACATCGGGGCCTTTACTGCGTCTTCTGTGCTTGCTCGTGTGGTTGCCATCATTTCACCTTTTTCTAGTTGTTCTTCTCTGCTTCAGTCCAGCCTGGAAGAAGGAAGTGTGGACAGAAAGGGCAGCTGCTGGGCCCAGTGCGAGGTGGCAGAAATGGTGTGGTTTGTGCACACCTAGGGATGTATGATGGAGAATGAAATCCGCAAGTCACGGGAGGTGCTGGTCACCTAGCAGGGCTGAATTTCACCTGTTATCTCCATCCATACCCCTGGAGAACCATGCTTCCCTCACTGTAAAACTGTAAACTGGGATGTGATTAATCAAGGAAAGCAACCTGTACTGCAACACTGTCTTGTCTTTGCAGGGAGGCTGTTGGAAGGGGATTCTTTGGAGCTGAGCTGTAGTGCTGGTCCTGCAAAGGTGATACTGGAGCCGAACCAAGTCGTGGTTTTGGACTGTAACCTGGCCCCTGCAGAGCAGGTGATCAATATCACATGGAAGAAGAATGGGTTTCCATTAGTGGAGCAGGATCATCTGCACGTGCTTCCGAATGGATCACTCTTCATTTCATCCCAGGGTGCGGTGAAGGACAGTAAATACCCCGAGAAGACTGGTGTTGAGGGTAATTACTCCTGTGTGTCTCACAGCTCCCTCGGGGCTGTCACCAGTCAAACGGCTGCAGTCAGATTTTCAAGTAAGTGCTGGGGTTTTTTATTGGTTTTCTTTTTACCCCTCCTGGTATCTGTATAGACCATCTGCCTCCCACAGAGTCTGAGATAAAGTGAGCACCATCTGATGCTAAGGGGCTTGGTGATGGGGAGGTGTTTGGGAGAAAGCACCCGTTGCCTTTTCTCTTCATTCAGGTACCTCTGGATGGTGTGTGCAGGAATGCACCCACATTACTTGTGTGGGGACAGCTGGAAGGACTGGCTTTAGCCATGCACATCAGCTTAGCTGCCTGCAGGTCACCCTTGGTCTCTTCTGGGTTCCCTGGTGAGCAGTCAGCACAGCTTGGGGAGGAGTGTGGAGGGGTTTTGGGGAGTTTGATGCTGATCAAGGAGGCCTGAGACCAGGGCAGAGCCAAGCAGCCGTAGCTCCCCCTGTGGCAGGTGAATGCAGTAGGTGCTACTGGGTTTCCCAACAGGCAGAATGTACCCTGTATCAGCATGGTGCCAACCTCTGAACTCCCAAGGAAACTCCAGATGGTGAAGAGCAGGGTGGAGACTGGAGCAGTTGAGACTAGGAGAGACAGACAGCTGTCTACATGACAAAGAGTCTGTCAGGACTGTCTTGTGAGGTTAGTATCTCTTTATAATGGAAGAGATGAAAGAAAGGGCTATTCAGGCTCTTCTCATTTTGGTCTCTGAGAACAATATTTCAAGATCTGAACTGCGCAGCCTTCAAGGATAAAACTCCTTTGTACCCAGGAATGGCTCCTGGAGCTATTTTAAGTGTGAGAGTGCCAATACATGATTCTTTCACCTACCAAACAGGTGAGGCTAGTAAATCATGCAAATACAGTAACACTTCTATCTAGTAGAGTGACTTATGGAAATGTTGATGAGGTGCTTTTGTAGTTGCTCAGAGCTGTGGCAGGTGAAGATGCAGAGTGGATGCCCTAACACGCACTTTACACTGTGATGTGTTTAGCCTCTGGTACCCCAGGCAGGTCCATGTTTGGCTAAGTGTGTGTTTCAGTCTGTGAGCACTGTGCTGTGGAAACCAGCACTCCTGATGACAGATGAAGCTTTTGCCAGATTATGTTCAACATGCAGCACCCACAGAGTGCTGGTCACCCATCCCTCCTGTTCACTCCTTGCAGTGGTTTGTAGTGCCAGATAAATAGCTGGTTCCAGGGTTTCATTACTTGAAGGGACCCCTGAGGGCGGTGAAGATGGAGTCGGGGATCCTGAACACAGATATGTTTGGGGAGATGGGAGACCTGGAGTGGAAAAGATGTATGAACAAGAGGATTTATTTGGCTGCTCTGTCCACAGTCCCAGGCACCCTGAATTAGGATGTATTCCCTTTTAGGGGTGACTTGTGTTAGAGTTTGCACTGTATTCACCATTTCAGGTGAACTCTCTCCTCGTGCTTCTCATATGTCTCCTTTTATTACCATCAGCGCAGTTAAAGTGCTGCTTCTGTGGCACATGCATGCACCTCACACAACACACTCATTTCTGAATGGAGAGCAGCGAGGGAATTGATTAATGAAATGCATCTCACTTGGATTTGTTCTGTGGGCTGGGCTGGAGCCCTCGCTGCATTAGCATTCAGCTGCTGCAAATGAGGATTGGAAAGGCCTGGGTTTTTTTTTCCTCCTGCTGCTGAATACAGCATCCAAAGCTGTTTACTGGAGTCACTCTTTGTGCTGATTGCCCAGGGCGTTGCTGAACTGGGGGCAATGGAAGAAAACCTGTTCAGCAGGTGGGATATGTTATCCTTGTCATCAGCTCCTGCTTCTGACCTGCAGTGTTTCCTTCTCTGGGCTGGGGATCCCCTTTAGGGATGTGGGACATTCTGTGCAATGAGAAGTAGGAATGCTGGGTATTTGGACTGCCAAGTCACCTCCTGTGGCTTTTTGTACCTTCATTAATTCATGACTAACTTGCCCCATATAAGCGCAGTACTTGGTGTCACCAGGATGCTGTGGCAGGGCAGCTGAGGGCCCAGCCCACTCCCTTTGCAGTTGGTGCTAAAGCTGCTGCTGGATGATGTGGATGAGTCTGGCACTGCCTTTCTTAAGGAAAGGTGGTGGTGGGCATAAATTCCTCTCCTAATGCCATGCTGAGTCCCTGTCTTGTTTGCTGGTGCATGGGTGTGTGTGTGTCACATATTTCCTGCCTTTCTCAGCGCTGCTTCTGTGCTGTTAGTGTCACCTGCTGTGTTTCAGGTTTGTGGGGGTCTGCTTCTCCTCCCTGACAGCCCTGAGAGCAGCTCTAGCACCTCTTTATATGGGCTGCTGGCTCCCCAGTGGGGAGAGGGGATGCACCAGGCAGCAGTGAGCCCTGATGCTGGGAAAAGCTGTTTGGAGCAGGCAGGCTGGAGTGATGGGGGCTGCATGATGTGTGTGGGCTGTGGCATTGATGACTTCCATCCTTCCAGCGTGACCCAGGTCTTCAACTTTATGTTTTGTGGCTCTCATCCAGCATTCCCCAGCAACAGACGAAGATCCCTAGGTGAGGGGAGAAGCAGGTGCTGTGGTCCACCATCCATAGCTCATGCCAGTGGTGGCTGTGGCGAGCAAGGAGCAACCCTGTGCTGGTTCTTGGTGTGAGCTGTTAAGCGAGTGACTGCTGAGGCTGCTGCATGAGGTTTGGGGGTTTCTCCGAGCCCTGCATGCTCGTACGTGGAAATAGCAGGGGCGTTGTTTGCGTTGTGGAAGGTGTAGCTTTCTACCTGTTAATAACTACATTTGTGAGGGTTTGGTAAAGCTCTTAATTTAGCTTAAACATTTTGTGCGAGGGAGGTTCTAGAAAATTACAGTAATTGTGGCTGTCAGATGAAGACGTTTGCTGTGCCTGGAGGGAACGGGGCTGCCTTGCGTGGCTGCTGGCAACGAGAACAGGAGAGCCTTGGTGTGTTCTGCTCCTGCAGGGACGGGCCACAGCAGGAGTCAGTGCACTGGGCCCTCGTGAGCCACTCTCCACAAGGAGAGCATCTCTTCTCCAATGACCAGCAGTGTGTCTGGGGTCTGAGGACAGGCAGACTGGGTTTGTTTTATGGATTTCATGCTGTTTTGTGGATTAGGTGCATAGGTGAGTGAGGGCCAGTGATTGTAGGCAGAACCAGGCTGGGCAGGAGAACCTCTGGCAGATGAAGGATCTGGACCATCCACAGATGGGATGTTCAGATGCTGTTTTGAGGAGGTGGGGAGCTGGTATCTCTGAGGAGGCACGAGCAAGTGCTGTATGGATTAGCTGGGCAGCACGGTCCTGTGCTGCTGTACGGCCCCGCAGGCCCAGCACTGCTCTGGCTCTGCCTCCACTGCACTGTGTGGCTGTGGCAAATCGCTCCCATGACTTTCTGTGTGTGTTTCCCTTCAGCCCCATGACCTGTTCAGAGGTGAGATGTTTGGATGTGGATGGTTCCAGCAGTGTATGTCATCCCAGTGGGGGCTGGTGTTGCCCTCATCTCAGAAATAACCTACTAGTAATTACAAGAGGTACGAAGAGGATGAGCACGCAGAGTCTGGAGCAAAGCGCTGTGGGAGAGAGCAGCAAGCCCGTTTCAGAAGGCTGAATTCCTTGCATAGACTGCATTTTCTGCCTGGGGTGTAGTGTTGCTGCCTGGCAGCCTTTCCAAGCTCACGGCCTCCTGTACGGATCAGTGTGCTGGGAGAGGGGGAGGGTGATGTGTTCCACCACGCTGCAGCCACCCCTGGGCTCCCAACTAAAACCCTTGGCACACACGGCTAGGGTCCAGCTGGGTTTAACGTGTCAGTGGGCTGGGAGCTGCATGCTCCATTCCTGAAGGCACAGAGCCTGGAGCTTTGGCATGTTGCTGGAGGCAATTTGCTGTAATGCTCTTCACCTTCTCACCTGCAGTGAGTAATTTTTACTGAGTGGCCTATTAAGGTGTTCAGGATAATGAGTGCAACAGGGCTGGGAGGTGTTCTGTGACTTGGGATTGGCTTTGCAAGCTAAACCCTAGCTGAGAAGTTGAAAATCATGTTGAGTATGTATCTGTCTTCTTTGCTTCCCTTTTGCCTTCAAGCATCTTTTTCCCCTGCTTCCTTACATGAAAACCTCTTGCTTTGCAGCACTTCTGCACTCTTCCCCTCCATCAGAACACGTGTCTGGAGGGAGAACAGCCCCTCCTAAGGATCCCTGTGGCCCTGGGGTGAGCAGAGCGTTGGACCCTGGCTTATGCTCACTGTGACACACATGCATGTCTGTGTGGTGGATCAGAGTAGCAGGACCTGCTTTCCCATCCTCTCCTTCCACAACAGGCTTGCCTTGCTCTGGCTGATTCTCTTCCTTCCTCTGCTGTTTGCAGCTCAGCTCTGAGCCTAGGTTGGGTCACGCTGTAGGTGCTGAGAGAGGAGGAACACAGGGGATCACAGCATGCTGTGATCTCAGCCCCAGCCTGATGCAGAGGGTGCTTTTGGAGCACTGATGAGCCTGGCCAGCAAGTCTGTCTCTGGCTGACCTTGCCAATGCTGAAATCCAGGGTTCTTGTTCAGTTCTGCATCAAAGAAACCTTTACACCAGTCTTGCCACGTTCTGATGTTTCTTTCTGAGAACAAAATCTGGTGGCCTATGACAGGATTACAGCGTTGCTGGGTAAAGGAAGAGCAGCTGACATCATCTGCCTGGACTTGAGCAGGCTCCGAATCCCACCCCAGGTGTTATCACAAGGAGGCACTAACAGACAAACCACAGTTTGCTCTGCATTGCCAGGGTCGAGTCTTCAGCCCCCATTGAGCTCTCAGCCTTTGCTGGCTCTGCTGGGGGAGCCTGGCTATTCCTGACTGCTTCTGTTTGGAGTGACAGGGATGCTGAGCTCCCTCATCAGGGTCGCTGGTCATTCACGCTGCTTCACATCCTAATGACAGGTTTGTCATGGGGGCATTTCTTGGCTCTTTGCTTTTGAAGAGCCATTCCGGAGCCCAGCCAGCAGGCAGATGGGGCTGGATGGAGGTAAAGCCAGTGAGGCACTGTTCCCTTTTGTATGCCTTTGCACTTCATGCCCAAAGGTGCCCTCGGTCTCTCAGCATCCTGCACCTCCTACCAAACTGTATAGAATGGAGCATGGAGCTCTGAAGGAGAGAAAAGAGAGTTGGGAACTGCCCATTGGGATTTATGGAGCCCCTTTGCTGCTGTTGCTGATGGTGGGGTTGCTGCTTGTGCCCACCACGTGCGACTTTGGTTCTCAGCTCTCTGGAGACTGCTCTAAAGGTGCTGTAAACTTTGGGACTTTGTTGTATCAGCTTAGGTGATGCCGTTTAATAATGAACAGAAGAGAGACAAGTAACCTGACATGAAGCAGAGGAAACACATGATACAGATGGTGTCTTTTTAGATGGATTCTGCCTCCTGTCGTGACCTTTCTGGGTATGTGACCCTTCAGAGCCTGCCAGAGTATTCTCATTTACACTTGTAGGATGAAAAGAGAATAACAGGAAAGAGCATTAAGGATTTCTGCTGCCAGGGAAAGGTTGTTTTGATGGTGCTGTCCTGGACGTGTGCTGGCACTTGATGGATTCTCTTCTAAGCACTTGGATTCAGCAAGTTTTATTAACATGAGCTTGAAAGATCTTGTAATCTGTGGAAATGAGTCTGTGTTAGAGTGGTCTGCGACGTGTATTTGAAGGTACTGAAGCCGTTGCCTGAACTGGGGCCCTTCCATATTAATGTCTTTTCTGAATTCTTCCAGGAAAACATTTTTCATTGCCATTTGGATTGAATTGAATTGAAAAATGAGCCTTGATGGACAGCTGGTGGGAGAACTCGATCTGTGGCTGCTGCGGAGAGCAATGAGTTGTTTTAAACATGTGATAACCATTTGAATTAAAGAAAACCACTAATGCCAGGCGAGGTTACAATGGGTCATGAAAAAGCATTTAATTTTCAGAGCCGTGCATACTTGCTCAAGCTGACACTTCAATACAGTGTGTGTGTGTGCAGTGCAAAGAAAGCTTCACTTTCGGAGTCCTATAAAATCCAAAGCAGTGATGGATGTGCTTGGGAAGCAGTGGTGGGAGGACCAGAAGGTCACTCGGGGTCCTTATAAGCACAGTGCTGGGCTTGGCCCTGCAGTCAAGCCTGTTTGCTGGCTGGGATTGATGTTTATTGTGCCACGATCAGGATTTCTGGCTCTTGTCTCATGGCGTTGCTGGCTGAATTTGTGTGTCAGAGCACGTTTAACAGCAAAGGCTGTGTAACAGAGACTGTGGGAAGCAGAAGCCAGTTCTGGTGGAGAAGAATACAAGCCTTCTGCCCCCATCCAGGAGCCTGCATGCATATTCAAAGCTCCACTGTGACTGAGATGCCTTCAGGTTATGCTGTGATAGGACAGATGCTGCAGCCCCAGGAGGAGGACTCGGGCTCTGCTGGGGTTTGCGGTGTGCATGGAAGGGAGGAAGATGAGATGCTGTGTATGAAGGATGGGAAGAGTGTGGTCCAAGAGCAATCACAAACCTTAGTGCTTTGTCTCCAAAGCAAATTCAGCCTCTCTAGCATAGAAAGTGGCATTTAAGTGGGGGGAGCCTTGGCGAGGTGTGCCCAGCATGTATGAAATCCATCCTCCTCTTAGCAAGGTGTCTGTGCCTGCGTCCCCTTGGCTACATCTCATCTGCTTGAGCAGGATGAAGTTGGTTTTTGCAGGCAAAGCTGTTCACTGTGGAGAAGGAGGATCATAGCCTTTAATGCTCTCTTCCCCTAGTCCCCAGCACTGCCAGCCTGTGTGGAGTTGTTACTTATACAGAACAACTGCCCCCAGTATAAGTAACTTGACATCTGGCTTTGTTCTTCCTTTTGCCTTGTTTCAATTTCCTGTGGCTGCAGGAATGCTACAAGGCAAAAGGAAACTGATCTCTCAGGGTTGTGGCATTTCCCTTCTTCTTTTTCTCATTCTACATGTCCTTCCCTGATGGAGCAAGTGAACAGAAGAGGAAGCAATTTGGGAAGATAGCTGCTGAAACTGCCTTTTGTCTCACAGTTGCTCTAAAGGAGAAAATGAGGCAAGAAGCAAATTTGCACGTTGATACCTTTCAGTTACTGTTGTTAGGACTGCTGAGGGTCCGTAGGGCACAGGAAGGTGAGGAGTTCCATTTCAGGCTGTCTTCAGGAGAGGGAAGCCTTTCTCTTAACTCAGACTCCATCACAGGCTTACATTCCTCAGCAGAAACACCGAGTTATTAACTTCCTTTTCCTTCTTCTTTCCCCAGCATTATCACGCTTTTTCCAACAGCCGGAGTCACAGACAGTGGAAGAAAATGGCATGGCCCGGTTTGAGTGTCGCATCGAAGGACTGCCCCCCCCAGTCATCACCTGGGAGAAGGACCATGAAGCTGTTCCAGCAGAACCCAGGTGATTCCCTCAGTGCTTTCCTGGGTCAGCTTGAAAAAGGGCAAACCAAAACCTGACCAAGGTAGAACGGAGAGATGGTAGAATAGGTTTTGGCTTGATGATTCAGTGAGGAAAGAGGAGGTGTTCATGCACACAGATCCATAAAACACCTTGATAAAATTAACTGAACATCTAAGTCACCCCCAAAAGATATAAAGAAAAAGAAAGGAGGAAAAAAAGAGATAACCAAGCCCTTTTTTATTACTGATCTCTTGTGCTGGAGCCTTTGGCATGATGGAACAAATGCTGGAACTAGATGATCTCAAGGTCCTTTCCAACCCTAACTATTCTATGATTCTATGAAAAGATAGTTTCAAGGAAATGAAATTGGCTGATAAATGAAGTAATAGAGACTGGAGCCTCAGTTCTGCAGTGGCCTGGAAGGTCTGTATGCAAAGATGCATAGTTTCATCTCAGTTTGCATTTACTCCCCATGCAGAGTGTTGGAGGGAAACCAAGAGGCGTCTGCAGAAGGGCAGACAGCAGCATAAAAGTGAATAGAGAAGCTTGAAATGGTGCCAGTTCTTACAGCACAGAACCTGCACCCTGCAAAGGCCTGTGTGTGCGTGGAACAGGGCACAGCAGACCATGGCATGGGGTGCCTTTGGCTCGTCCCTTTGTGTGAAGTGAGGTAGAAGTCTTTGGGGGATTGGGGCCTGGTTTGAGGAATACTTCCCCAGCTGAATTGGGGGGAAACAGCACTGGGGCTACTGGGCACATCCAGCAGGGCTCCATGATGGGGTTTTTGATTCATTTTGGCTGTGGTAATAGAGACAGTGGTTTTCTTCACTCTTTTCCTGCACAGGTTTTTCTCAGGGCTAATGATTCTTTCAGAGCACTGTGTGTGCTCAGGAACCTGGGAAGTCTTTCCATTTGTTTTATTCCCATGTTTACAGATCATCTGGTGAAAGACCCTGAATTTTCTTCTTTGGGGAGAAAAGAGACCTGCAGCATGATACCTTTTCCTTAATCAAAGTCAGTTACAGGCATGAGATGATAAACCATTAGTGAGCTGTTAGCTGCTTTGTAGAAATCACTCCTGCAGGGGATCAGTGACTGCATTGTCCTTTAGTTCTTAAAAAACTCATTTTCTCATCTGCAGAAGGAGCTGATTCCCTCCCAGGGACATAAAGCCAAGAGGAAGGAAAGAGGAGTGAGGTCAAGTTTAGGAATAATTCTGCAGCCCTGCCTGTTTCTATAAGGTTATATCCTGGATCTGAAGTGGAGCATCTAAAGGTTTATAGGAGGCTGTTGCTTTGTAATGAGAAGGAAATTAATTAATAAAAAAAGGAGAGGAAAAACAGAAAGGAGGGGATTGCAGAGGGAAGTGTGCCATAAATAGGGCAATGGCTTTTTAATGAGACAGCTCGATGGATGTTGTGAAATTACTTGCTTGGAGATTGCCTTCAACACGGGCAGCTTGAAAATTGTTTTCCTTGTAAAAGCCAGAGCATAATCTCTGGCTGCAGATCTTGCTTTTTAAATCATATTTTAGCTAATATGCTTTTTTCAGAAGGATTTGCTTTTTTTGTTGTTGTTGTCTAGTTGTTGTTGTTGGATTTAATATAACCAGCTTTCGAAGGAATTAAGTGAATTCCAGGAAATGTTGGCTGCCAACCAGAGCTCTGTGTTATCCTTACTGCATCACGCCTGAGGACCAGATCTTGGGCCAGCCTGATTACTGTGGACTCCCTCCTGTGCACACTTCTGATGAGCCTGTGAAAATGCAATCATTTGGCTAGGTAGGCATCAGGATGATGATTTCGTATTCCACAATAGCATGGTTAGGTGTATGTACAAAATCAGGCTCTGGGGCTGTAGATAAAACCCTTGAGATAATGCTGCTACATCAATGTTTATGATTTCTTTTAAGAGGGATAGAATAATCATGGCAGAATTACATTGCTTTTCCTTCTTTCTTCCTCTTTTTCCTTTTTATGTTGAACTTACCTTTGGGCACTGTCTTCAGCCTTTGCCTTTGGATGCAGGTTCTAGCATGGTGCCACCTCAAAGGTGCTGAAGGCTAAGCTTAAAAACTAGACAACCCAAAGGGTAGGGGAGTGCTTACTGGTGTTTTCAGAACACCTTTCCTGCCCTGCTGGAGTTCTGACTTCCACATGGGAGTAAGGCACAGGAGTATTTTGCGATTCTGGCTCTGAAATCCTTCTAAAGCCATGGTTTTAGGTCTGCAGCAGCTGCTGAGAGGTGGCTTGCAGGATTTATCTAGATTGCAGTTGCGTTGGGGTGTGTGCTGCATCTCTTGGCTTAATCTCTTCTCTGTTGTAGGTGCTGGCTGGGTTTCACACCAGGCTCCAAATTGCTGTTTTGTTTCCTCTAGAGCCAAGTACTTGCTAGGAACTGGAGGTCTTTGGAGGTCTGCACATCAGCACATACCCTGCAGATCACATGGCCTGCAATCACAGCATCTTGTCCACATTTTGGCTGAGGGAGTGGTTTATCAGTGTGGAGGCTTTGCTTCTGTCATGTCAGGAGTGCCTGAACGTGGCTCACGTTCACACCCAGGCTCTAGAGTTGTGAGCAAAAGGCCTTGCAAACGTTGAGTCTGCAACAGAGCTGCTGGTTCTTCATGTGTCCTGAGGACTGGCACTTTGATTTATTCTGTGTGCCTTGACAAGGCCGTGAGCCAGCAGTTCACTGGGGAGAAAGGAAGAGAGGGAATCAAACTGTTAATGCTGGAATATTCTCTGCTATACACCCAGCCTAGCACACTGAGCTGTAGGGTTGCAGGGTCTGGGTACAAAGCAGCAGTGCTTGGTTGCAGTTCTTGAGCACTGCGCTGATAGTCATAGAATCCTAGAGTCACAGGATGGTTTGGGTTGTAAGGGACCTTAAAGCTCATTTATTTCCAACCTGCTGCCTCTCAGTCATCAGGCAAACTTAGCTTCCCTGCAGAGAGCCTGGGGATGGAGCAAAATGCCCTTGCAGGCTGCCTGGAGGCTTCTAGTTCAGGGCATCTCAGAACCTGAAGAGCTGGAGGCTTTGTGAGCACCATGGAGAGATTGTGGATAGAGAAATCCTGCCTTTCATCCCTCCTTACTTCCCTGGGAGAGCAATTCTCACCTCTCTCATGCTTTCCCAACAGGACATTGCATTAAGTGCATCTCTCTACTGGCGGCCTTGCCAAAGGGTCCATCTTGAGCTTAGGTGTTGATCCAGTCTCCCCACTCACTCCCCTTTGCTCCAGCTCTTGCTCTCTTTACGAACACAGTGGCTTGGTTGCTGCCCTGGAGACAATCAGGGTGCATTGGCTGAGCCTCTCCATGGACGTGGTCCTGGGTAACCTGGTCTGACCACCCCTGCTCAGAGAGGGGGAAGACCACAGCCGTTTCTCAGGGGTCCTTCCCAGCCTCAGTGAGTCTGTGCTCCGTAATTGGAGTGTCTTTTTGTGGCTGGGAGAAGCCTTGCCTAGTGTTTGAAATGTGTTGCTATTAATTACAGCCTCAAATAGCAGATGCACGACAAAAATAAATATTATCGCAGTGGGAGGCTTTGCCTCCGCGGAGCTGAGAGGATGCAAATATTTGTTGTCTTTCTCCGGAGTCCTGATGAGGCATCCTGATGAGGGCTTTCTGTGTGCCACCTCCTCGGAGGCCTCTGAAGCTTGAGGCTGGAGAAAGCCTGTGGCAGTAGCAGCAGCAGGGCTTTGGGGATGTGGGGCAGTTGCCCTTGGGTACGTGGGAAGCTTCAGCAAGTGTGTGTGCATGAATGGGATTGACTGTGCCGGTGTGGTGACTGGAGGAGCTCTGTCAGCTCTTCTGTTTCTTCAGCAAGAAGGGATGAGATCAGACTGCAGCAACTGAGGCCCAGGATAGAAACATAGAATCACAGAACAGTTAAGGTTGGAAAGGACCTTAAGATCATCCAGTTCCAACCCCCTGCCATGGGCAGGGACACCTCACACTAAACCATCTCACCCAAGGCTTCGTCCAACCTGGCCTTGAACACTGCCAGGGATGGAGCATTCACAACCTCCCAGGGCAACCCATTCCAGTGCCTCACCACCCTAACAGGAAAGAATTTCCTCCTTATATCCAATCTAAACTTCCCCTGTTTAAGTTTTAACCCATTACCCCTTGTCCTGTCACTGCAGTCCCTAATGAAGAGTCCCTCCCCAGCATCCCTATAGGCCCCCTTCAGATACTGGAAGGCTGCTCTGAGGTCTCCACGCAGCTTCTCTTCTCCAGGCTGAACATGGCACAGCCCCAACTTTCTCAGCCTAAGACTTTTGCAGCAGGGATGTTTGGAACAGCTTAGGGCAGGGGAGGGTTTTCCACTATTGGAGATTGTGGCTAAGTGTTTGCAGGAGCAGGAGTGCTGTTGGTGACCATGGCTTGAATACAGGGTGAGTGATATCTTAAGGTCCTCCTGGCTTCTTGACCCTTGCTCGTGGCACTCCAGCTGCAAAGAACCATGGTTTTACTTACCAGGTTCGCTTCCTGACATCTCTATGGATGGAAGGACTTGTGTTGGTGGTTATAGCTTGTCTTTGTGCTGTTTCCATGGAATAGCTGCTATCCCTCCCCTTAACAATTGCCTTTGAATATGTCCTCTTCATAATGAAGACTGATAACCCAGAGCTGCCTGTCAAAGCTCGGCAGCTCTGTTTATAAAGGCATGCAATTAAAAATGGATCTCATATATAATTAAATAGGATCACGTAGGCTTTGCGCCTTGCATTCAAGAATAAAGAGGCTGCCATCTAGGAATCCAGGCAGAAAATGGAGATGCTGACAGCCAGCTCCTACTTTTATGCTAATTGCTAATCATCTGCTTTGTTCAGTATAATGCAGCAAGGAATTGTGTTCACGTTGAGAGCCATGTAGCCATTTCGCTCCATGGAAGTGTTGCCCAGTATCACCCCATGGGCAAGCGAGGGGGATGCTGAATGCCCAGCTCTAAGGTTGTCAGCTTGTGAAAGCCGGAAACTCATGGAAGAGCAGGAGGAATCACACAACCCAGGAATGATGCAGCTTCAGGTGGCTGTGTCCTGGCTGCTTTGGGCTATGGAGATGCAGCTGTGTATCAGTTGATCCCTTCATGTACTTGAGGTGCAGCAGGAAAATGATGATGTTCAGACTTGTTTGCAATGGGTTTTTTCTCTGGCTGTCAAACCTTTGTGAAAAGCAAGTGGTGAAACTGGCTGTAGTGTGTGCAGAGACACTTGTACACTTGGTGTCATCTACAGATCTGTATGTAGAAATAATGTGCATGTGTGTATGTAGTCATTTTGTACTGTACAGTTTGTATCAGCCAAGCTGAGTTAGTCTGGTCTCCCAAAAGCAGATCCAGTGTTATGAAGACTCCGTGGTGACAGATAGGTCTGTACCTGCTGTTGCTTTTTAAGGACCACCAGTTGGGTTGCTCAGAGGTGCCTTGGTCCCATTCTCTGTGGGTACCAGGACCTGCACGTGGTACATTTGCCAGGTAAAAGGAAGGGATAAGGGGGCTTTGAGTTCATGAGTAGCTCAGGTAAGGCATAGCCTCTCTCACACTCTTCCTTTTGGTCACTCAGGTTTATAACTCTTCCAAATGGCGTCCTCCAAATAGTGGATGTGCAGGAGAGTGATGCTGGGACTTACCACTGCGTGGCAACCAATGCTGCCCGAAAACGCTACAGCAACGCTGCAGTCCTCAGTGTTCTCAAAGGTAAGTGCAGCAGGAGCATATTGGGCTAGGCACGTCTGCCAGCTAACCGCTGTGTGCGATGGCAAGCTGAGCTGAAGCACCAGTGGCAGTGCCTCCTGCTGGTGTGGCTCTGCACATTTGGTTAAAACTTGCAGAGAAGGCATTTTATGGAAGATTTCTCTTTACTCTGATGGGATGAGCAGGCTGGGGTGGGAGGTGTTGCCACTGGGACTCACAGCTGGCTGCTCTGCCAAGCCACAGCAGCCAACAACAGGCATGGGGCTGTTTCTCTCTGTGCCCAAGAATGAATTCTCTTTTGCAGGTGGATTCCAACAGCCATTTCATTTTAACAGCCTTGAACTCCTTTATGCTTGGGGACTCTTAGAAGGGGTCAGGCACCCTGTTTGCATCTTGAAGTGCAGTGGTGGTTTGATCTTATCTCCAGTGGCCTCGGATGGCAGGACAAGTGAAGGCTGGCAGGGAAATAGGAAGGTGCTTGCCCAAGCTAGCAAGAGACATAGTTGGAGGCTGGAGCAGTTGGCAGGGCTTTGTCTACCCTGGGTTGCCTAGCAGGCTCCAGAGGAGGTGAAGCACAGTGACATCCAGCTTGTATTCTGTGTCCATATTGCTGGCACTTTGCTGAGATGTTGGGTAGGCTCCAGGGAACTTGTTGTGGTATTTGAGAGCAGCCTCAGCTGGGGTTTCTTCTGCTGACACAGACCATTGGAGCAAGGCTTTGGATGGGAGCTGCCTTTTGCCTCCCCATCTGGGCCTCAGTCTCTGAGTGCATTTTTCTTTGTAGACCAAGAGTGCAGTGGGCAAGTCTGGACATGAGAACATAGCTGAGAGCCTAAGTGCAGTGGGGACTCCAGGCTCCAGCATCCTTCCCAGCACGCCTGGCTGCCTCCCAGGGTTGTATAATCCCAGTCCTGCAAGTGGGCAAACTCACCAGGGCTGAGAGCCTGGCTGAGCTGGCTCTTCACTCAGGCCACGTCTGTCTCCTGTGCTGATCCCAGTGTATTCTGTAGGCAGCTTTAACCTTGAAAGCTCTGAAATCCTTCCCAGTCCCTTTTGTCTTTGTTTAGGGTTGTGTTGCTTGGCATTCTGCTACCAGTGTATTTTCACAGAGATGGCTTTGCTGTTCATCCATCAGCAGGGAGTGTAATTAAGTGTGGAGCCTGAGAACACACCTCTGATCAATGGATTGTGTCACGGAGGTAATCTGTGTGGAATCTGCAGAGAATCTGTGAGCAGTTGAACACCCTGTATCTAATTGCCAGCCCCTGCCAGATCCTCTGTGTGCTTAATGAGGCACAAGGCGAGGGGAGCACTGCTATGGGCAGTTCCACAGTGCAGAGGCAGCTCCCTGGCTGGGTCTGCTTTGCTATCGATGAGCGATATTGATCAAGCTACAAAGGTGAATATGCTGTCCTTGGCATCATAACTCGTTCTGCATAATTGTATCTTGTAACTCTGCAATGTTTAATCTGCTTTGCAAATGGAGGCAATGGAAGAGGTTAAATGGGAAGCGTTCCTTCTGGAGCACCAGCCGGCCTGAGCAGATTTCTGCCTGGAGTTCTCACTCAAATCTCGCTTCTGCAGCACCACACCACCCGCTGGCTGCAAAAACAAATATGTGAGGTTGAGTTTTTCACCAGATTGAGCAGATAGTGATGAAAAACATGCCTGTTAAATCTCCGGGGCTTTTTATAATTGGGGAAAAGTATCTCTGAGACAGATGGGAAACTGCAGTGACCTGTGCAGGCTGCAAACTCCTCCAAGAGTGACTGGCATGGTATTGATCCTGTTTTGTTCCAGCACTTCACCATTGGAGGCATGGTTTTGGATGCCAGCTGATAGCAGTGGACTGGAGTGAACTGGTCAGGCAGAACTCCTTTGCCAGTTGTAAAATATAAAACCAAACTAAACCAAACCAATTCCAGGGGGGAAAAAATACCCAAAACAATAACCTGAAATACAGCTATTTAGTGTTGCTAACTTGAGAATATCAGGGACCAAAATCCCATGTGCCTGCAGACAGGAGCATGCAAACTACATTTCCCCCCCTGTTAATGGCTAGTGAGTGCTTTGTACTGAGGTAAGATGGGAGTCCCAGTCTTTCAGTCCCACTGCAGTGCCAAGGCCCCTGGAAAAGGTTTGTTCTGGGAATTGTTCCACCTCCCCTATTAAAGGCTTTTTCTCAGTAGAGGCAGCAATTAGCACGACCCCTTCTGGCATGTTTTCATGGTCTAAAACCCCCAAAGTGTTTCCCTTGTTGGTGTGACTTCCCCATTACATGGGGGCTCCGTGTTGCGTGCCAGAGGCTGGACCCACGTTGGCCTTACTCAGAGCAGAGCACAGCAGTGCCTGATCGGGCTGTAAGTGCTGCAGATGTTTCAGCCGTGCAGACTTCATGGTGCAAATTTCCAGACCTTCCCTTGGGAAGTGGTATTTTGAGCTGGAAGGAAAGAGAGCAGACAGGACAGCGGGATGCAGGCCTGCAGCCCTGGAACAGAGCCTGCTGTGAAAGAGGGGTAACTTGGGATATTCCCTTTGGATCTCCACTGCTTCCCGGTGGATGGAGCGCCAAACACATGTGGCAGCTCCGTCCCTTTGCCCCTCACCTGGACACCTGATGAATGAACAGTGCAACCCTGCAGTGCTCTCTGCCAGAAAGGGCATTAGGAGCTGGCTGCAGGATGCTTTTCCCAGGCGCTCTGTGTGCGTGTGCTCTGTGTGCCTTGGGGTCAGCTGTCAGCGGGGCTGTGTCCTGTCTCTTGCAGTTCCTTTCTCTGGAAGCATCCCTGGAGTCACACTCTGAATTCATTTATAAAGAGTTAATTCCCTGCGTGTCCTGCTCGTGATCCCAGGTCCTTGACATGCCCAAGGAAGTGTCACTGTGCTTCATAAAGCAGCTCTCAAAGAAGAGTAGCAGAAAAGCTAGTGGAACATGACATTGTGTAGTCTCAGCAGGTCACTTTGCTTATCACTTCGCTTCTCCCCCCCATGTCATGCACACGCTTGCTCTTTGTGTGTTTTCTTGGGGATAATGACTACCTCTTGCTGTGGGTTTGCTCTGCAATTGGTACAAATGTGACTTGCATCCCCAGTACAGCACAAATAACTCTCAGAGCCGGTGCTGTTGCTAGCACAGTGCTTTATTTCAAGGACTTCATCCGTTCTGTTTTTAAATGACACAAGGAGTGTTGCTCTCTGTAACTCCCACAGCATCTTCCACACTGAATGGATATTGGGATCTCTCTTCTCCATAGCTAAGTTCATTTTCCTGCAGCTCATCTATTAGTCTTAGTTGCATGTTCCACATGCTGCAATAAGTGCAAGAATGGGGACAGCAGATGAGGGTGATGGGTGGAGACAGAGCAGGGCCGAGGCCTGGGCTGGGCATGCTGCTGAAGAGCCTTGCAGCAGATGAGCATGTCCCCAGTGAGTTGGGTTTTAGTAGTGTGTTATTAGAGATGACACTGCGAGATTGCCGTTGGCAGAACATCATTTACGGTGACAGTTGTAGCAGCTCGCTGCAGCAGTGTCCCAGGAAATGTATTTTTCAGCCAAATATTTGTATGAAATATGATAACAGGGACAGAGCTTGCAGGCAGCTGAAACACCTTCACGTTTTTTGTTCTTTTGGTGTTTGTGTTGCAGTGCTTGCAGGTACCAAGGGAGAGCCTGGCTCTGGGTGCTGGTACCTGGGTGAGTCCTGCTCTGAAGGGCTCTAGGACAATACAGCTATTAAACGGGATGAGCTTTGGGGATGGAGGAGAAGGTGGTGATGAAGTGAGCAGCACTCGCAGTTGGCCACCACCTCATAGAAACAGACGTGCTGTTACCACAAGTGGATTTTCAGTCGCTGCATGTGTGAATGACGTGCTGGATGCTGGGCTGGCACTCAGCCTGAGCCCTGATGACATGTGCTCTGCTCCCCTTGCAGCTCTGAACACAGCACCATGGCCCTTCTAGGGACAGAGGAGTTCAGATTCGGGTCAGTGCTGCTGGGTGTTGATCCCATTGTGTGTGCTGCCGCTGATGGAGAAGGGCAGTGTTATCCAGAGCGAGGTGGTGGTCCCCATGGTCAAGGGTGGTCTTCCTCCAGCAAGAACCCATGGGGAAGAGCTATCCACAGCTGTGTTTGTGGGCACAGAATACAGCTTAAGGCTGTGCTGCTGAGAGGCAAAAGGGTCATGGAGATGCATAGGGAGAGAAGACATGGGGTGGGATGAAGCAGCTGTATTTTTGCTGTGAGTTGTTGTGTGATGCTTCATCTCTGGAGAAGAACGTTCCAGCCTGCAATTCCTATGTCCCTGTTCCTTGTGCCTCTTCTGCTGGGCACAGACTTCTATCACTTTTCCCTCTCTTAGCATCTGTTTTTCTTTGCCCTCTGGTCTCTTGCTTTACTAGCTTAACTAGTTAAACAGGGAACTGACATCCCGAAAGCTCAGCCATGAGGACTCTGTTGATGTGTGTTTCTGAAGCTTGTTGTCTCGAGTCCCTGGTATGTGAAGCTGTTTTCATACTGCGTCTGCTGGATTGTGTGAAGTGCTCCTGATCCCCCTCTGTGGCAGAGGGTGCAAAGCAGACCACTGAGTGTGACTTCAGAGGATGGCAAGATCAAGGAGGAGATACACAGCTTTTTTGACTTAGTAAATAGATATTTAAGCTACAAGTGTCCTTCTGCCTACCACAAGCTGTAAGATACCCTTTATGGAGTCAAAACACCGCTGGAGATTTCAAGCATGCATGGAACAAGATTGAGACCACAGAGTTTGGGTGAAAGCTGTGAAGGACGGGTGCAGACACGCGTGAGGCACTCACCCAAACCCACAGCTCTGTGCTGGGCTGGAGTTCGTGCGGGGCCAGCATCACAGCACTCCCATCCCCAGGGAAAGCTGCTCGTAGCTCAAGTGTCACAGCCTGTTCCCGGAGCCGGAGGGGGAGGTTGAGCTCAGCTGCCTTTGCAGTTCAGTGGGGCTATGATCTGCCACGCTCCTGACAGCTCAGCAGCC